ATTATTATTAGTAGTAGTAGTAGTAGTAGACTATTTAGTACAAATGACCAATCAGGTAACATTAACTCATCCTAGGTGATCTCATAATAATTACATCAGCCTTCTGCCTAGTCAGCATGACTCAGCTTTATACGCAGCTGTACAATATGGTTGATTAACAACTTCCTTTATACATTCAGTCTAAGATGTTAATTCTATTTAACATCTTCTATTACAATCCTTGTAATTTCTTGACATTGTTCCACCCCCTTATATATTGTATGATATATTGTATGTGACTGTTCCCTTGTATCCAAAGTTTCAGGCATCCACAGTAGTTTGTGGAACCAATCCCCCACAGATTCAGGGATCATACTGTAACTGCATTTAGGGTGACTTGCAAATCTTGGATCTATTACAATCCTTGTAATTTCCTGACATTATTCCACTCCCTTATATATTGTATGCGACTGTTCCCTCGCATCCAAAGTTTCAGACATCCACAGTAGTTTGTGAAACCAATTCCGAACAGATACAGGGATTCTGCTCTAATTGCATTTAGGGTGACTTGCAAATCTTGGGGTAGTCCAATGAAATTTCAGATGGTACCTTCACCAGTGACTCTCTGAAGTTTCCGGTTAAAATTGCTTACAACTCACCCATCACAGGTCCTTTTTTCTTTATTTGTTTATGCATAATGGACTGTACCAAATATAATTTAGCCTTATCAGATAACATGAAACATAACAGTGGTTTCTCTGTTGGTGATCTTGAGACTGGCAATGCAAATTCTCTATCACTAATTACCTGGAAAGAAGGCCTATTTATTTCATTGCCATTTACTTGTAAGTAAGAAGAATTACATTTAGAACCACAGCCTGTGGTCGTACATTCTTGCTGAGTATGTAACAGATAGCACTTGGGTGCTATTCTAGCAAGGGACTGGAGTATACATAAAACATGGAAGCAGGGCAGAAAACATTTTTTTCATCAACCTGAACTTTAATAAAAAAATTCATGAAGGATTAATATGAAAGACTGTAATGCTGATTTTGTGATTTTACTGAGTTCTTGTAATTTTAAATCCATTTGCCTCATACGTTGGTTCAAGTGATTTCTTATCAAACCAAACAAGAAGAAGTTTGGGAGAAGCACTATAATTCTGCTAATATTAGTAAAGTTTCTGCACCTCTTGAGATTGACATCAAATTTAACTTAAAGCAATAAGTAAACAAATCTGGATTTTCCTCCTCAAAGAAAGGGAGGAATTTTGTAGAAGGCCCAGGCTAATATTGCAAAAATTTATCAGCAGGTTTCAGGGCATCCTTGGTTTGCCACCTGTATTTATATAATATGAAATTTGAAGCAAATCTAGTGTCTGTTCCTTGGGCAACACATGGACAGTGCTGAAATGTATAGTAGAGCTACGTTTTTATGAAAAAATTGACCTCCTGGTTCAGAAAATCATGGACAGAGTGAACAGGGAGGGGTTTGTACTATAGAGAAACTACTTTATTCCCTTTAACAAGTGTTGCTTCTGCCTTGATTTTGGTTTTGAGATATTACACTAGCTTTGTGATTGCTGATGGGTAGAATCATATGGCTAGCGAGAAGAAATAATTCTCTTTTTGTGGTGGTGGGGGTGGGGAAAGTGCCAATCTGAAAAAAAGAAGTTTATATCCAATTTTCAAGAAAGTTAAAAGTCAGGGAGATCTTTTAGAGTTTAATGAAATGTTCACCCAAGAAGGTTCATCCCTAGCTGAAGAACTTTGAAGGAAATAGAGTTTCAGTGATCCATGTTAAGTATCTCATATGAGGGTTTTGCTATCCCCAAACCCGTAAGAATAAATGTCTTTTTTTTCCCTGTTGACCCATTCCCTCTTTTTTATTGTTTTTCGTTTCTCATCTTAGAGACTGTATAGACTTGGATATGAAGAAATGTTAAGGAAAGGTTATGATCTTACTGCTGAAGCTATTTCCGTGAAGGCTGCTAAAGCATCAAGGGACATTGCTAGTGATGTAAGTAAAACTGTAAATTCAGCGTGCTATTTTACCATTTGTACACATAGCCAAGGTCAGCAGACTTGGTCTACACCTTGGGATTCACTGGAACATCATGCTCCACCACCACCCCCGTATGTTGACTGTATAAGAAAGTGCTTCTGTACATGTGCTGTGTTCCTTCTCCCTCACAATGAGTTTACTATAGGAAACTCAAATCGAGGATTCAACCCTGAGATTTCCAAGTACTTTTGATTTTTGTCCCCTTTTAATTTATAAATTAAAGGTTACAATCTTTAAATCTTTATTCAGACATATTGCAGCTAGAGTTAGGCCTATTGAATCAATGGAACATACAGATGAGGTGACTCACCAGATCCCCATTGAGTCAGTGGACTTACTTCGGTTGCAACTTACTACTGGTTTTCAGCCAATGCATTCTTCACTGTGCACTGTGTTTTGGGTTTTTTTTTGTTCTTTTGTTTTGTTTCTTTGGATGTTGCCTGATATGCTTGCACAGACTTGCACGGCGACTTCTTCTAAAACTGTGCACTTCATGTTCAGTACTTCATTATTACCCCAGGCACATCGGGCGGGGTACCCATAGTTTGCTTTTCAGCAATAAGTGCCCTGCATTCTGAATTCCCATTGTGTTCTGTATAGAAAAATGCATGTACCCCACAGTACATTGCCAAGCCTCAGGATTTAAGGTCATGAGATAATCCACTTTTCTTTCTCTGTCTGCTTGGGAATGTGATGCTGCTGCCTCACATCATGACAGAGGCATATTTGGAAACATGTAATTCAGTCTTAGTATGAAAGGATAGTGTAAGCTTTAATTTGAGGGGCCTATATTAGAGAATGGCACGAATTTAAAAATTAATCACAAAATTCATTCAAAAATCACCAATTTGTTGATTCTGTTTGTACGAATCAATCCCTGACAAATCATGAATCATTGAATTTTTTAGCGATTTTGGATTTGTCAATTTGTTTGGCTATAAAATGGTCCCCACGGCACCTAGAGATACCAAATCTGCAGGGAAGCTTCCTCTGACTCTCCTCTACAATCCTTCTAAGTTTGGTGAGGATTGAGTTTCCACAAGCCAGCTGCTAAAGGGCACTTTCCTTGCGGGGGGAACCCCCTGAAGCCAGCTGCTAAAGGGCACTTTCCTTGCTGGGGGAACCTCCTGTGTGGTATATAACTTGGATGGCTGAAACCCAGTCTTCACCTTACTTGAAACTTGGATGGCTGAAACCCAATCTTCACCTTACTTGGAGGAATTGTAGAGGAGAATCAGTAGAAGCTTCTTTCTGATTTTGGTGTCTCTAGTGCCCGGGGGGGGGTAACTGTCCTAAAATAGCCCTCCTTATGGGTGTATAACTCAGAAATCCAGAACCCAGGAAGCTGATATATAACTGGGCCCAGGAAAACACAGGCATTTAGGGGAAGAAATAGTTTATGGCGAATCAGTGCTCACTAGAATCTTTTGATGATATTCAGATGACCAGACAATGGTGAAATCTCTGATCTATAGTTGTAGTATGGGTGTTTAATTCTGATGTTTTGTTGTTGTTATTGTCAGTTTTTAGGATTTTTTTGTTTTGTGTGTTGGTATGTATGGATAAAAAAGGGAAGAAAAAAAGAAATCCAGAACCCAAACTTCTCCAAACTTGTAGAGCATGTAGAGAAGAGTCAAGGGAAGGTTTCCTGTAAACCTGGTGTCCCTAGGTGATTTGGGGGCAATTTCATGTGGTTTTAAAGTAAAAAAAAAAAAAGAATTGACAATCATTTCATGTGGTTTTAAAGTAAAAAAAAAAGAATTGATGATCTGATTCATTGATTCATCAGAAAAAATTGTAATTTTGCAATTCATGATTCATTGACCTTGATGAATTATGAATCAAAATGAATTACCATTTTTCTGATTCCTGCCCATATCTAGCCTACATATTGCCCTGAATTGCAGCTCAGTATTATGCATACTCAGAAGAAAAGTCCACCAAGTCTAGCAGAGGTTTGCTGTCACATGGGCATACGGAGGAATACAACCCCAGCCCATATTTTGTTTAAAACAGTGGAACAGCTGCATTTGCTTATAGTTCTGACATCTAGCAAACATAGCTTCTGCACATGAATGGAGCAACTAATTCTGCCTGATTTTGTTGTATTCTTTTTTTCCCCACTAATTATTCTTTATCATTTCAGTACAAATACAAAGATGGCTATCGCAAGCAGCTTGGCCACCATATTGGAGCTCGCAGCATACAGGATGACCCTAAGCTTGTCCATTCCATGAATGTGGCCAAGATGCAAAGTGAGCGAGAATACAAGAAGGACTTTGAGAAATGGAAGACCAAGTACATTAGTCCTGTGGACATGTTGGGTGTCTTGTTGGCCAAGAACTGTCAGAAGCTTGTCAGTGATGTTGATTACCGCCATCACCTGCACCAGTGGATATGTCTGCCAGACCAGAATGATGTCATCCATGCTCGGAAAGCATATGAGCTACAGAGTGATGTAAGTGAAATTTATGAACCACATTTTGTTTTTTGATTATGAAGCCATGATATAAGCCACTTTGGGTCCATTATCTGTACTACTGCCAGTTCATGTCACTGCTTGTGTGCTTCCTTCTTATGCAAATCTTATTAAACTGCATTTTATAATATCTCAATACTTTCTTCAAATTGTTCCCTTCTGTCTTTATTCCCTCAATCTCTGGTAGTGAACATGGTTCATCTCTCTCTCTCAGTTTCTCCCCTTTCCCTTCTCTCTTGTTTGTATCAACTCAGAGTTTGGTTACACAGTTGAAATAAATTGGGTGAGGGATTGGGATCTTTGAATTCTGTTTAAAGTCATGTGGTAATTGTGTGGTTTCTGGGTTGGTGGGTGCCTCCTCTTAGGAAAAATTTTAAACTGTTTTCAAGCTGTGTTGTGTATTGATCAAAGGGGCGATGCAGACTTTTAGAATTGTTGTATTTGCGGCTTTACCCCGCACTCACCCTCCTACACTGGCATAGGTCACTTGGCCACTGCTGATATGGTGCTATTTTAAATTTTTATTTTTTTTACTTATTTCAAAGTGGGATATTGCTAGAAGGGAATGAGAGGTGAGGAAAAGAGCTTTGCCTTGTTCTCTGTCAGCACTGCCATCACCACTGCTCAGCCCTCCAGTGGGATCCAGGTCTCCACAGCCAGCTGCCTTGCCAATGTGCCCTTGGGCACTGGGCAGGAGCTGCTCCACAGTTTATAGGGCACACTGGCCAGCTGTTCAGCAGTGCAGGCTTGCTCACCTGCTCTCTGCAGCAGCCAGCTGGCTCCTCGTTCCCTCTGCTGAGAGATCAGCTGTTTGGTGGCTTTCCTGCCTACTTACCTGTTCTCTACTGCAGCTGGGGCTGGAGGCTGTTTCTTACCAGCTCATCTGCTTCTGCTCAAAAGGAAAAAAAAGGTGAGGGTGCCAGCAACCAACAGACTTACAAAGGAGGAAGATACCCTGCCCTTGCTGAAACTGAAGGCTTGTGAAAGGGGGACACCAAGTGGCAATGTGGGAAATTGGCCAAACATTTTGACTAGCTAGGCTTGCAAAGCACGCACGCACGCACGCATGACGCACGCACACATACACACACGGAGTGCAGAAGGAGAGGGAGCATGGAAGGCATACCACTGAGTGGGAAATTCCACAGGCACAATTTACACAGATGGAGGTGTTTATGCATGCCAGAACAATTCAATATAAATCTATTTGATATCTGAGTTAAAATGGGCTTCAAGGTCGGAAGATCAGCAGTTCGAATCCACGCGACGGAGTGAGCTCCCATTGCTTGTCCCAGCTCCCGCCAACCTAGCAGATCAAAAGCATGTAAAAATGCAAGTAGATAAATAACTATCACCACGGTGGGAAGGTCATGGCATTCCGTGTCTAGTCGTGCTGGCCACGTGACCACGGAAACTGTCTTCAGACAAATTCTGGCTCTATGGCTTGGAAACGGGGATGAGCATTGCGCCCTAGAGTCGGACACGACTGGACAATTTGTCAAGGGGAGCCTTTACCTTTACCTTTATGCCAAAAGAGTATATTATCTCACTTCCAGTCAAAGTCACTTGATTCCCTGTCAGAATAATCTTCACTTCCACATATGCTGTGTAGTCACCTTTCAAAAAAATTGATTTAAAACATGCCCAATTCAAGTGCAGTTTTTTTCCTAGGGTAACCAGGCTCTCACATTATATTAAATCCAATTTCAGGCAAAGAGATCTTCAGTCACACAATGGAAACATCATGTCTCCATCAATCTATAGAAGCCTCCCTCTTTCAATCTGTTTCAGAGGGTCTTCCAGACTAGGGTTGCCAAGAGCTTTGGGGTGGAGGTGAAATTTGATCTGCCATCTGTGTCTATTCTTCTTTTGGAAGCACACATTTGGATACAACCCCATATTTTCTCTTTTCATTTTTGTCCCCAATTATTTTCTTATCATCTGACCTTTTTTTCCTAACAAATGCTATCACCAAACATGACTGTCTAAATTTCAAAGTACTCTGTTCAAAGTATTCTGTACTTTTTTCTACCCTTTTCTTCATGTTGCTGCACTGCTTGCACCTTTAGGGAGACTCTGGCTTTTTAATGCTTTGTAACTTCAAATAATGATCAAGGCAAATTATTAGAGATGCTTAAACTAATAGGCCATAATCAATGTATCGCATAAGAGGTATAGTAATCTATACATATTTGATGGTCAGAACATAACATTCTTTTCAGAGGTGTTTGTACAGAATTATTTTATGGTGTGCTTTCATCCTTGCTAGAATGCATACAAATCAGATCTCGAGTGGCTTAAAGGCGTTGGTTGGAATACATTTGGATCTCTGGAGTCAGAGAAGAACAAGAAAGCCTCTGAAATTCTTAGTGAAAAGAATTATCGCCAGCATCCAGACACGATTAAATTTACAAGTATTCCTGATTCAATGGAGGTGGTTCTGGCCAAAGAAAATTCCAAGCACAGAAGTGATGTAAGTGTTTTCAAAATAAATGGGAATAGTGGGGTTTGGTCAGTGGTTTATGATATATAAGTGGCTTATGCTTAATTGCAAAGCAGGGTTTTGAACAATTGTGCAAAAGTAAACAATTAAGGATAATTAAAGAAACATCAAATATTTGACAAAAGAACCCCGAACAACCCTTTTAAAAGGCAAACATGTGGGGATATTTAAAGAGCATATCAGCCATTATAAAACCTCCCTCTTTTAAGGCAAAAGTACTTGCCTGTGAAGTTTTGCTGCTTCTGGGTTTTCTAAAAAAATCTCAAACATCACAAGACCCTTAGCTTTTCTCTTTGAGACCAGACCAGACAAAGAAACAAACAAAAAACAACAAAGCAAAGCAAAAAAGAAAACAAAACAAAGAAAACAAGAGACAAAAACTTTGTGGCATGCTGAAGACTAGCAGCTATATTTTATTTTGAGCTTTTGTGGAGCAAGTCCACTTCCTCAGACCCACAAAGCTTTGATCCATGATAGTTCAAATTAAAATATAGTCGCTAATCTTTAAAGTGCCACAAAGCTTTTGTTTCCTGGGGCTTTTCTGTTGTTGTTTTGCTTTGTTTTTTTTTTTATCTGATTTGCTTGTACAGACGAACACAGCTACTCCATTACATGTTTGAGAGTAGACATCTACCTTCATAAGGGCAATATACTATGGTCTTTCTTTCCTTGGCAATTGGAACTCGACTTGTTTAGATGGAATTAATAAACAACTAACTAATAAGGTTATTGGAAGACTACAAGTTGGATGCAAGCATAGATGATCCATGAGAGTACAGGGGCTTTTTAAAAGTGCAAGAGTTCTTCCCCTCATGTAGCATAAGATGTGCCTGTGAGAAAAGAGAAGTGAAACCCATCACACCACATCTGTTTGTATAACTCATTGGTGATTGCCTTCCACAACATCTGCTACAACAAGGTGTTGTACAAGGTTTGGCACATCAGCTCAAGATGTGTGCTTGTGCTACGTCCATGACGTGCACATTTTTTTTTGTTCTTCACTATGCTCTGAAAGCTGATATTACATATAACAATTTTCACTGTCACAAGACGTTAATCATTTTGTCTTCCTCCTTTCTAGAGACTATATAAAGAAGCTTGGGAGAAGGATAAAACACAGATTCACATTATGCCTGATACTCCAGAAATCATGTTGTCGAGAGTCAACTTAATCAACACAAGTGATGTAAGTCTTTCACTGGATCGCAAATGGAAATGTCTATTATTGAGCTACCTACTTCCTGCAGACTTGCCCTTTTATTAACTTGCGGTGGTTCTCTCATGTAGAAACTCTACAAGTTAGGGTATGAAGAACTGAAGAAGAAAGGCTATGTGCTTCCAGTAGATGCCATCCCGGTCAAGGCAGCAAAAGCATCTCGAGATATTGCCAGTGAAGTAAGTCATTTAATGCATGTGTTTAGAACTGAATGTTCAAATAGCATCCAGTTAATCCTTAGAAAATGAAAGATTGTGTGTCTTTGTGTTCTAAGGACTGTGTGTCTTTGTATTCACATACATTGTTGTTATACGCTATTAATCTTACAGTGACCTTAATAGGGCTTTCAAAGTAAGTGAGGTAGTTAAGGAGTGGTTTTACCAGTCCCCCCACCCCCGCCTGCCCCAGTAAGTTTCTATGGCCAAGTGAGGATTCAAACCCAGGTCTCCTGAGTTCTAGTCCTTCACTCTATCTACTACAGCACACTTGATAATGCATTCATACTCTTCATAAAGTTGTCATATTTGTTAATGACCATTTGCAAGATCTGAGTGAGAATGTTAAGGATACAACATTTTGGAGGTCACTATTTCATAGGTCTGCTATTAATCAGAAGAAAGGTCATAATATAACATAACATAACATCATCATCATCAAGTTGAAATAAATATTAAAACAATTTGAAATTATATACTTGTACAATATTAACCATGGCTGTCAAAATGTGATTTTAAACACTTCTGGCCTCCAAATTCATATCAAAATCTGACTTTCACTCTGAAATGTTATACTCTGAAGTGTTAAATTCATGAATAAATTAATATGAATTTCTCTCTTGTTAAGCAAAAGACATTTCATGCCAATAAATACTGTATTTCTTTTCTGGATAAAGTCAAGTCATTAGATCGTTTTAATAGCTACAGTACTGTATTTATTTTTCTTAATGTGGTCTGATTGATTATCTCTAGATTGGCAATTTGCCATTGTTTGGGTTTTATTGATTTATTTGATGGTCATGTATTGATTATATGTCGTGTTTTTGTTTGTTTGCTTTTTATTTATTTATTTCATTTTTTTAACATTTTCATTCAGTTTATTTTATGTTTGTCTCACTCTGAATGTAAACAACCCAGAGTAGCGTTTATCACTATCGGTGAGATATGCAAGTTTAATAAATAAATAAATAAATAAAATAAATAAGTTCATTAAATCTTTGGCACAAATAGCATGTAACTTCTTTTAGTCCCCACATATAAACTGAAACAGGAAAAAAGTTAAATGCTTATTTGCTAATACACAGTATTAGCAAACAGAATGGCAAAGATCCAGAAACCCTTATTACTGGCAATACCCAACCAACTGAGAAGCAATGTGTGATATGTGGCCAAATAAATGCTTCCAAGTTTGAGCACCTTTTAAAAGTTTTTTTTTATAAAGAGAGAAACTTTAGTAAACTGCAAATTCATTTATTACTTATGAACTTGAGTAGTAACTCTTTTCAGTTTAGAATGTTTGAAATCACATGAGAAATCAGTCGAAATTATTTTCTCTTTTCTATAGTACAAATACAAAGATGGCTATCGCAAGCAGCTTGGCCACCATATTGGAGCTCGCAGCATACAGGATGACCCTAAGCTTGTCCATTCCATGAATGTGGCGAAGATGCAAAGTGAGCGAGAATACAAGAAGGACTTTGAGAAATGGAAGACCAAGTACGCCAGTCCTGTGGATATGCTGGGAGTCTTGTTGGCCAAGGACTGCCAGAAGCTTGTCAGTGAAGTTGATTATCGCCATTACCTGCACCAGTGGACATGTCTGCCAGACCAGAATGATGTTGTGCATGCCAGGAAGACTTATGATCTTCAAAGTGATGTATGTATCTTTGATAAATGATTAAGCTGTACCAGTGCTAACTGATGCTGAGCAGGAACTTTAATGAGGGACGGACAGGTTGTTGCTAAACAAAACAAGTGAAGATCATGCAATTGTTTTAAATGAACTTTAGGGAAACAACAGATAGATGTTATATTACCCTTTACAATGCCTTATGAGTGTTTTCAGATCACTTTGGGGTGCACAAATGAAGCATAGCTTATCTTATGCTGCTCCCCCAATCATTTTCCATGCAAATGGAAAGGGCAATCTTATTTCATCAGACTCACATATGGGAGACTGTGAAATAGTACTCCCTTCTGAAAGAGGAGAGTGTTGTAGATCTGGGATCAGCCGAGTGGGGTGTGTGGATAATAATCTTTTGCTCCCAATAATGTCCATGCACCTCTCCTTTTTAGCTGGGAGTTAGCTGTAGGGCCACATTGCCGTGCTATTATGCTAGCATTGTTTTGAAAATGTGATGAAACTTCAGTTTAACTGGTAACACATCCAAGACCCTGTAGGCTCCTTGATGTCTCACATTGCTGGGCCAAAAGATACCCCAACAACTTGGCTGGGAGAATATTTTGTCTCAGATGGTCTTTTGTGTATAAGAAAGAAAACAATGAACCCTGTGTATGGCATGTGGCTGGAACTCAGTGACACTGTTTGCAGCTCCTTAGATTATGATGTTGTGGAATGCCTATGTAAAAGGTCCAGTTCTATGTGGATACTACCAAGGCATGTGCCTTTGGAGGACGAAAATTTCCCACTCTGGTGCAGGAGGGTTAATTTTTCTTGATATCAAACTGACTGAATAGTATTTTTACATGCTGTGGTTTATAATTTATGCAGTTTTTTGGAAGGGGCAATATGTTGCAATGATAAGGAATTGCGGATTTTTCTATTTGTCTCTTTGTTTTCCTCTTTAAACAGATTGCGTATAAATCAGATCTTGAATGGCTGAAGGGTGTTGGATGGTCCCCAAGTGGCTCTCTGGAAGCTGAGAAAAATAAGAGAGCCTCCCAGATTTTGAGTGACCACGCCTACAGGCAGCATCCCGAACAGTTCAAATTCACCAGTCCCATTGATTCTTTGCCGATGGCTCTGGCAAAGCATAACTCTGAAATTATGAACCATGTAAGTTTAATACATGTCCCTTTCCTTCAATACACAGACATCCACTCCGAAGGTATTGTCTAGCTATTCTGTGTTTTCTTCCTGAAGTGATACTTTTGTGGTAAGAAAGAAGACAGTAGTGGTGGGAAAACACAAGAAGATGGCAGATAGAAGTGTGTCCACTATGGGATGTGCACTGTGGGGCAGTATAGAAACCGAAAGAACTAAAATAGAAGATGTCATCAGCTGCATTCCTTTGAACTTCCATGAACTGGACCAGCTGCAACATAAAAGACTGAAGCCGCTTGTTTGCATCTAGAGACATTCCCCATAGTTGTTCTGTGTAGATGTTGAGGATGCATTATACTTATGAACATCCACTTTGGTTTGTCTTTATAGCTGTGTAAGACAGCAGGGAAAATTTTGGGCGGATTGGAAAGAAAAAGAAGGGATGGTATCTAGTCATTCCACTTCAAAAATCTCACCATCTTGAGTCCTGAACAGCATCACAAGGCTCTTGTTCCAGGGTGGCTAGACCACTAAGCTGACTGTGGCAACCTCTGGCTCCACAGTCCAACCCTCTTTGAGAGGGGTTGGACTTGATGATCTATAGAATCCCTTCCAGCTCTGCATCTCTAAAATTATTATTGTTGTTGCTCTAAGTGTAGCAAGATACTGTAATATTTGCATGTCCTATTTGTTCTGTGTAAATAGCAATTCCATCAGCATTTACCTCATTCCTTGCTCTTCCTGAAACCTTCACTCCCCTGACTTCACCCCGTGTGCCCAGCTTCTACCCAAAGCCTCAACTACTTTTCTCTCTATCAGTTCCAAAACTTTTCTGAGCTAACATCTTGACATTTGTAGTCTGGCAAAGTCTAGTCTCTGATGGAGTTCAGGAAAATCCAGTAAAGCTCTGTAGTGGAGAATTCAACTACCTTACTAAACTACACGTCCCAGAATTCCATAGGATAGAGCTGTAACAAAGTGGTGTCAAGAAACTATAACTATGTTCTGTAGATATGAAAATCTCTCAATTTCCATAGAAAGCAGTGGAGTAATCAAATAACTGAGAATAGATGAGATGGGGCTCAAGTCTATTTAGCCCCCATAAGGCCCTCAGTATACACAGTATGGAAAATCAGGGGAGTAAGACTGAGCATGTTCAGTGGGTGTGGAACACTGACTGTTGGAGGAAGGGGAACAAGAATACTTGGGGGGGGAGGTCAAGTGGAATGGATGGAACCCTGGACAGAGACATTCTGCACTCCAGCCATTTTCTTGCAGGATCTCACTTTTGCTCTTTATTTTAATTCCTTATGGGAGCAGCAGGTTATTAGAATAGCTGACACATGCCATAACTGGTTCAATTAGTATAATACATGATCATTTTTAATGATTGGTAATATTATTGTTAGCCCTCAATTAAGGACATTAAATTATTCATTTACTGCTGGTTGTTTTCAGCGCATGTATGTTGACGCTTGGAATAAGGATAAAACCAGCATCCACATTATGCCAGATACTCCGGAAATTCTACTGTCACAGCAGAACAAGATCAACTATAGTGATGTAAGTGGATTTCTTTACGAAAGAAAACAAAGTTAAAGGATGGGGGAAGGGTGTCCTTTGAACTTTTCAAAAAGCATCTGCTAAAGTAGTGTTTGTTATTCTTTTAGAAATTATACAAGCTTTCACTAGAAGAGGCCAGGAAAAAGGGATATGATCTCCGAGCGGATGCCATTCCAATCAAGGCTGCAAAAGCTTCCAGAGATATTGCGAGTGAGGTAAGTCATTCTGATTGTAGGTCCTCAGATGGTGCCATGAAGCAGGAAATACACAGTTCTTTCCCACTATTGACTAAAAGTGCTTACCTTGTCTATGGCTGACTTAAAACCAAGGCACATTTTGGGGAAGATTGGTGTAGAGATGAGTTGTTGCTATGTCAGGTGAAGCCAGTATCTCAAGTTCCTTTGCATAAAATTAGGAAGACTGAACACCATTCCTCCCTCTGCTGGCATTGCCAATTTCTGTCATCACAAACACAATCAATCCAAAGTCTTTATGATAGCATCTCAAGGATAGTACAGTCTTTCCAATAATTCCCAGAATATAATAGGGGAAAAGTCAGTGCATATTGAGAAACAAGTTGCCTGTTTGCATCTGTGCCTTAAGGCTGTCAAGGGATTCTTTTGAGCTCATAGTACACGGAGATTTTTGGCCAGGCTGTATTGACTCCTACCAGACACTTGCAGAAGCTCATAACATGTCACAGCTACTGTGCAATATAAAAGCTTATATTTGGTTTTTAAAAGTGTAGTGAAAATACAAATGGAATAAAAGTACAGATGATTCTATTCAGAGAAAAAGGAATTCAGCACAAATAGTGACCTAGGGGAAAAAAATCTGTGTTCTCTGCCATCAAGACAATTCCAACTTAGGATAAGCCTTTGCAGGGCTTTCTAGGTATAGAATACTCAGAAATGGGTTGTCATCCCCTTTTTCTGGGTGTGCTCTGGAACTGTACAGCTTGCCCAAGGCCATATAGGCTGACTGTTCTCCCCAGAATGCTCAGTGGGAATTGAACATCCAGTTTCTGGCTTTGCATCCAGAAACTTAACTCACTGAGCAGAGAATTAAGTAGTCATTATCTATTGTTTGGGTTATGACCTGAGAAACTTGCAAAAAAGAAGGAGGAGGAGGCTTCCAGAAAACTACAAGATGGCTACTCACATTCTCTCGTACCTTTGAAAATAATTTTAGAAAACTGTCAGATATGATATCCGAGGAATGATACACGATATCAGGGAAATCATTATTTATTTGATTTATATTGTATGCTTTTAGAGAACTGATTCTAAGAAATATATAACTGGCAATGTGATTTCATGTTAAGAGCAAGCTTCCAATTTCGTTTCTCCAAATTGATGAAGGGCAGGACAGTGTATATGAGGTTCTAAGTTACTATATATCTACAGACATATGTCATTTTGTGCCAAAGACCTTGCTTGAGAGTAGGGTTTGTAGAAAGACGCATGAATGTGAGAATGTCCAGAATGTATGGCTTCCTGATATTACAGTTTTTAGATCACTGTGTAGGCAGAATGTTATCTTTATGGTTTATTCTTCTTCTCAACAGTACAAATACAAAGATGGCTATCGCAAGCAGCTTGGCCACCATATTGGAGCTCGCAGCATACAGGATGACCCTAAGCTTGTCCATTCCATGAATGTGGCCAAGATGCAAAGTGAGCGAGAATACAAGAAGGACTTTGAGAAATGGAAGACTAAGTACACCAGTCCTGTGGATATGTTGGGTGTCCTGCTGGCTAAGAACTGCCAGAAACTCGTCAGTGATATTGATTATCGCCATCACCTGCACCAGTGGACATGTCTGCCAGATCAAAATGATGTCATTCATGCTAAGAAGGCCTATGAAATACAGAGTGATGTGAGTAGTGATCTGATTCTAATTTGTTGGGATGAATTCATAGCAACTAGAGATGAAGAAAACATTGTTTTACCTGTTGGGGGAATATATGTGATGATGCACATGAAAATTCTGTTTTATTCCTTTGCTGACAATAAATGTTTCCAAGAAGATGGGGAAAGAGTTCAATAATGCATCTACCTCAAAAAAATTATCTCTTCATTACACTTACCCTTTCTGGTGATTACTACAAAAGCCTGACTCAGCTTAGCCATTAGTGCCATGAACTTCGGCATTTCAATTCATTCCCCTTTCTTTTCATCTTTTCTTGTGTATAAAACCTTTTTCCCCCTCACAACCTCCCAAAAATTATCTTTAAAGTGTCCCCAGACTCTATACAGTTTATTAGTACAGAATTATGCAGTTCTCATTTTGGAATGTGGCATTCCACTGCTTCTGAAATGTCAGAAGTGTCAAAAAGATAGCACAGGAATAGAAATAAAATAATGTAATATAGACTATAAAGGTGAAATGAAAATGAATAAATAATATTTTCAGTAATACTGTAAAATAATCCCTGCCTTATTGATTGGTTTGCATTTGGGAGAATGAAAGCAACTTTCTAAGTCACCTGAAGGACCTGACTTTACAGTTACAAATCTGGAGGCCAAAGACCACTGGCGATCCCATGAATTTTCCAACATTCTCTGGTATAAGACCAAGATTAAAATGAAAGCCAACCATGTGATTGTCTTTTCCTTTCAGTTGATGTTATAAATAGTGTTATCAGAGGCTGTCAAGGGAAGAGGATGCTGATGAGAGTGAAGCTTCTGATTTGGTTGAGGGTTTGGTTGAAGAATGGCTTATAAACATCTGTCTTAAAAGAAGATACAAATTTAGCCGTTTAGAACAGGTCGTTGTAACACAAGAATGAGTTTCCAATCCACAGGCTGCTAATTCAATAAGGCAATAAACAAACAATCAAAAACACTTTGCAAGAGCTTCTTGCAGTTTTCAGAATCAGAGAAACTGGGTCATAAATTTTTCTCAGATGTTGCACTACCCATGCTAATTAAATAACTTTTTAATGTACTTGTTTACAGAATTGTTACAAGTCAGATCTTGAATGGATGAAAGGTATTGGCTGGGTCCCCATCGGCTCACTGGACACTGAAAAAGCCAAGAAAGCTGGAGAGATCCTCAGTGAAAAGCTATACCGCCAGCCACCAGATAGATTCAGATTCACCAGTGTGACAGATTCTCTAGACTTGGTACGGGCCAAGCATAATGCAGAGACCATGAATAAGGTAAGTTCCAATTACCTGTCCCTGATACTGGAATATCTGAACATAAAGAATGAAACATTACCTCAGTTATTTCACTTTACAGTGAACAATTAACAGGCACAGACTCTCAATACTTCTCAGTGAACAATTAACAGGCACAGACTCTCAGTACTTCTGATGTGGTGCATCGTGGCTTCTCCCATTTTGAAGAGACCCTTGTCCAGCAGGCCGAGGCAAAGAGGCAGTCCCGAAACCAGCCAAATCAGGGAGCTGAACAGGGGACAGATTGTATTTGTCTTCAGTGTGGAAGGGATTGTCACTCTCAAATTGGCCTTCTCAGCCACACCAGACACTGTTCCAAGTCCTCCATACAGAGCACGTTACCATAGTCTCTCAAGACTGAAGGATGCTTAATCAAGGCTCTCGGGCCGAGGCAAAGAGGCAGTCCCGAAACCAGCCAAATCAGGGAGCTGAACAGGGGACAGATTGTATTTGTCTTCAGTGTGGAAGGGATTGTCACTCTCAAATTGGCCTTCTCAGCCACACCAGACACTGTTCCAAGTCCTCCATACAGAGCACGTTACCATAGTCTCTCAAGACGGAAGGATGCTTAATCAAGGCTCTCAGTATTAACTGATTACTGCTGTGACATTTTAATTTCTAAATATTTATTTAAATCCCCTTTTAATTATATATTGGCCAAAATCCTCTTGCTTAAGTTACACTGGCATAAGAGAAATGACATGACCTGTAATAGCAGATTGTCATTAATTAATGAGTACCTGCTTAGATTCCTTATTGTTCAAATGTAATCTCATTGCCTGTGAGGTGAGTGGCTTTGCATACAACCCAGAAGTGAAGTGGAGACTTTTAAATTAGCATTAACCTGCCATTGCAGGTTACATCATTTTCCTTGACTATTGTTTTACTGAAATCATAATTTTTAAAAACAAATATTTTTGTTTTATACATTCCCAAAAAATTGTTGTCACTTAAAAATAGAATGAATGAAGAAAGGGGGTGGACATGAAGAGAGGAATAAATATTATCTGAAATCCAGTAGTAAGTGGCAACTAGAGTAGGCCCATTGCATCAGTAGAGATTTGACAAGTCTGCTCCTCTATAGGTTTCATTGATTCAATGGGGCTACTTTGTTTGTGGCTTAGCACTTATTTTTAGCCACTGTAGTACACTTGATGTAATGCATAACAAATGCATGCAGTTTTCCCATTAAGAATAATGGTTAGAATTCAATGGCATACTTTTGCTAGATTCCACTAGAGTGGAAATTTCCCCCCTCCTTCTTGCATCACATTTCCTATGTGTCCTAAAAATCTGCTCCCGAAAGTGGCAGAGGGGTGATGATGTCAAAGACAAAGGGAGATTTTTGGTAATTAGAGTCTCCCTCCTTCTGTGCCTGTGGCTTGTCTCACTCACATCTATTCAGTTTTATTGTATGGAAATCATGGGATAGAAGGAGGATGTACTTAATTACTGAAAATGTCTGCCACCAGATGACCTTAACAACTGGAAGAGTTTTCTAGTAATTAAAGATCTCCTCCTTCTGGCCTCTGGCTTCTGCACAACGAAATGGATTACTTCTGATTCAGACAAGCCCTGATCATCTCCCCATGCTGGCAGTATCATCATTCCCCAGATGGGTGATGTCATCACAGGCATAATTTATGCAATAAGATGTTGGCCAATATCTGTGGAAAATTCAGTAGCTTACTTCTAATTTACAAACGAATGTCTTGTTAGAATTCAGATCTAGAAGAGGCTACTGGTATAATATGCATATATTTCCATCCTAGATCCATAAAGCATGTCGAATGAAGTGGAATATCGTGCTAAGCAAATATATTTGATTGCTAGTATGAGTGTGTTTGCTTGCATTAGATTGATCTGGGTCACTATGCCCTCTATTTATTTTTTTTTTTCAGCGTTTGTACACTGAAGCTTGGGATAAAGACAAGACGCAAATCCACATAATGCCTGACACTCCTGAAATCATGCTGGCAAGACAAAACAAGCTCAACTATAGTGAGGTGAGCTTATTTAAACACATTAAACGTTTGAGTACCATGGGCAGCCACTGTGTGATGATTACCTTTTGGAAGAAGAACCGATTAGTGAAGAACAAGTTGTCTTCCAGAGATACCTTATTTTTGTCCTCTGATGATGATGTGCCAAGTGGTTGCTTTTTGAACCTCTTTTAAAGAGCAAATAAGTTTGAAAACCTTTGTAGCTCACAGTGTTTATGTTACGCAAACAAGAGTAGTTATCTGTTAATGTTAAATGTTACGTGACAGCCTAAAGCAGCTTACCATTTCACATACTTACTGGGCTGCCACTGATTTTGACCAAGCAGGTGGCCATTTAGGAATTTGCAACTCTTTCCCACAAATCTCATAGTAAGTCTTCGGTCAAGAGTAGAGATGGACATGAATCTTGGTTTGGAGGTCGATGCCCGTTTGTACACACAACATGACAGGGGCTGCAGATTCCCTTCTTCCACCTCCCTGGCCAGTGATCCACTCACCAGTTGGGTCATGTGCTCCTCTCCTCCTCCTCTTCGACTGTTGAGCCAGTCCCCTGCAGGAACATCGGGTTGCCTGTCCTGCCTCCTTGTATGAGTGGGTGATCAGTCAAGGTGGTGGGGCAGGGAAGCCCATGCTCCTGCCACAGACTGGTTGAACAGCCGAAGAGGAGCTCATGGGGCTGGTGAGTGGGGGATCCAGCTGGGGAGGCACAAGTAGTACCTCTAGTGCAGTACGTATGAACCGGCATGAACTTCTGAATTGAGGTTCATGCCCATCTCTAGTCAGGACTAAGGATTTCTTCTAGGATCACCATGGGATGAAAATGTTTACCCTGTTGTCAACAGTCTGAGCTCTCAGACTGACTTTCAGGCAGAAGAACAGATTAATGCTCTCCCCTTTACCACTCAGACAAAGTCTGAGGGAAACCCTTCCTTTGGTTAGGATCAAGCCCCAGGCTTCAGTCAGATTACACTTTTTTCACTCTGATCACCTCAGAGAAACCTACCAAGGAATTCTCTTTAATCCAGTGATACAGGGGCTGGTATAATGGTCGCTAGATGGGACCACGTGTCTGAAGAAAGTATTCCACCCTTCTGTGTTGCTAAAATAACTCTGAAGAAGTCAGTAGTTTTATAGTCTGCTTGTTTGTACAGACTGACTGGTAAAAGAAAAGCTCCATTGGAATTGTAAGTATTCAAATAATCAAAACTCCCTTCTCTTTTTTTCCTTTTTAAAGAGTCTATATAAACTTGCTCTGGAAGAAGCAAAGAAGAAGGGCCATGATTTGCGAATTGATGCCATTCCAATCCAGGCTGCGAAGGCATCAAGAATTATTGCCAGCGATGTGAGTAGCTATTCAGTTGCTTCAAATCATGCTGGCTGAGTCACAATCCTCTGATCACATAAAAAAAAATGAAAAAAGTAGTAATTACCTATAAATACAGTTACACTTCCAATAATGTTCTTATCTACAGTTTACTAAGCATATTTAAACATTTATATATGTTTTACTTCTAACCCTACAGTTATTCAAATTAACCAGCATTTGAGCCCATTTTCCACTTATTTATTCCTATTTCAAAAAGAGTAACATCCTATAATTCAGTTCATATTTGTTTTCCTATGCTGGAGAAAGTAAAAATAAAAATAAACATGAGTGTAATTCAAAGTCCATGATTAAAGAAGCTCAATCAAGTCAGAATTTCACACCTTTGTCGTGAAATATTGAATTATTTATATTATTATTGCTACACATGTTAATTGTATTATATTTTTAAAATTCTTCTTCTTTTAATTAACCCACCCAAATGTACAACCTATTCCTAGTGTGCTTCAGTAGAAAATATAGCAGTTCCATTTCTGGTAGAAACGTAAGTCATGTTTTTGCTTGTGCTCTTAATAGAGTTAATATGGTTGTTTACCAGGTAATACTGTTCTGGAAAATAATTTCTGTGTGCACCTTCCTTTCAGTACAAATACAAAGAAGGCTATCGCAAGCAGCTTGGCCACCATATTGGAGCTCGCAGCATAGAGGATGACCCTAAACTTGTCCATTCCATGAAAGTGGCAAAAATGCAAAGCGAGAGGGAATACAAGAAGGACTTTGAGAAATGGAAGACCAAGTACTCCAGTCCTGTGGACATGCTGGGAATCTTGCTGGCTAAGAACTGCCAGAAACTCGTCAGTGATATTGATTATCGCCATTACCTGCACCAGTGGATATGTCTGCCAGACCAGAATGATGTCATTCAAGCTAGAAAGGCTTATGATCTGCAAAGTGATGTGAGTAGGATGTGCAACATACGTACAAGCTTGAATGTTTGGCAGCCCAACTGATGTTAGAGAGCAGCACCTGACTAATGCCTTCTTTTGCTTCAGGCTATTTATAAGCAAGATATGGAATGGCTGAAAGGTGTAGGGTGGATTCCTGTTGGCTCCCTGGAAGTAGAGAAGGTGAAGAGAGCGGGAGACATCTTAAGTGAGAAGAAGTACCGCCAGCCCCCAGAGCAATTTAAGTTTACCAGCATCCCTGATTCTTTGGAGATGGAGTTGGCCAAACATAATGCTGAGACGATGAACAAGGTGAGTCTTGTCATGTTAATTGGACTGTGCTGAGTGTTTTTCACTGTCAATTTTTATTTGGAAATAAAATGGGCCCTATGAATGAGATGATCAATAAAATATCTCTGTAGTTATTCATTGTTTCAACCCCATCCATGGAATTCTCTTTTCAAAAGTACTGCTATGTGTAGATTTCCTATTTCTGCTTTGCCATTACTGTCATTTGCTTCCTTTCTCCTTATTTCGTTAATCCATGTGAATTCCTTTTACGAATATCACTCATCCCATATTGTGAAAAAGAATTTTTAAAAGGGAAGTATCAAAACTGGTAGAAATTAAATATAGCATGAGAAAATGAGGCCAAAGAAGGAACAAATATGGACAAAGAACAGAATAACCAAATAGTTTATCAATAATCCCAACTGAGTTTGCTATTGAGCACTGCAACAATTTCAAGGGAGGTCCAGAGAATTTTATGTTGCGTTCTTACTCTAAGATAAGAAATCTGATATAACTGAAACAGTGGTGAAGTTTTGTGTGGCAGCAATGAAGTGTCACTATTCCCTCCTTGCACTGATTAAATCAATGCCAGATGTTTCGTAGTGGTGTGTATTGGCCACCATCTCCTCAGTCCTGTGAATTATGGACATTCTATGAAATTTAGTTATATTGTACTAGGCTGTATATTTTTAATTGTATTTTTGTATTATACTAATGTATATCATAATAATATTTGAATATATCTGCTGGTCAGTGACTGTAATAAGGATCAGAACCAGAGTCAAAATATTGAATGATTAAATTAACATTTCTAAGAAAAATTAGGGGTGAAAATTCCTTTGTAAAATAAGCTCAAATAAATGTCATGAAAGGAAGCTTGACAACAACCTCAGTATGTGTTTGGCTGAGATTGAATTGCTGGACAAAGTTTACCTAGGAAGCTGCATGAAGATTTAAGCCTGGGCTTCTCTAGCCTGACTCCAGTGCTGTATTTGCTCCCCTGCTCTCTCTTACTCAAGGCAGTGAGTTTTTCTCTCTCAGTGACCTGTCTCAGTTGGGTTTCCCAGGAGGCTGTCTCTGCAAAATCATCCGGGTTGCTGAATGATGGCTTCTTCTTCTTTTGTTGTTCCACAGCGCCTGTACACTGAGGCTTGGGATAAAGACAAGACTACAATCCATGTCATGCCTGATACCCCTGAAATCATGCTTGCAAAACTCAACAAACTGAACTATAGCGAGGTGAGTATCCGGATGAAGAAAGGAGTGCTCCCAAGTGTATTCAAGGGAATTGTGCCCATTTTGACCCCTCAGGAGCAAATTCAGTGATTGTTGTGTATTTTGTAACAGTGCAGCCATCACAGCCCAAGCATGATTATAGTGTGTTGAGACTTAGTTGCCATGAAACTATTTTTCAAGGCAGCATGGCTGACCATATTCACATACCACAGTAAGCTTTGGTTTAGTAAGCCATAGTATGTTGCTGTAAGCCAGAGTTTGTCTTTCAGTTCACCACAGTTAAATAAACCACAGTTTATCTGGTGCCTGCTTTTTTCTCTGGCATTCCTTTTCTTGGGTTCATGTTCTAAGATTATCAAGCTGGGTCAAAAAGCAGAGACAAACCCTAGTTTTGGCTTCAGAGCTGATAACAAACTGTGTTTGAAACTAGCATTGCGTTGAACCTTTCTTAGGTGAGAATTCAACCTTTTCCATTCAGTCTGATATTTGCAAAGTTCACAGAAATTCTTTTTCAAAAGAATTGCAAAGGAGCCGAAATTTTGGAAAAATTCCCCAGGGTGACATTTGCAATTCTTATAGTTACATTATTTATGAGAGGGATGAAAGTCAATGTAAATGTTCTGTCTTTCCTTGTGCAATAATTTCTGGGGTAGCCAGCAGTTCCCCTATCTTCCTAAACCTAATTAACCCCCTTGGAAGGGCATAATGAGTCCCCCCTCCCATAGGACACTGATGGACCAGGAAGGGTGAGCAGCCAAGGATGCTGCAGAATGATGAAAATATGTTATGGAAAGAAAAACCTAATTTAGCACACTCAGCAATGTTATAAGCGCACGCGCGCATGCACACACACGTGCGCACGCACACACACGCACACATGCACGCACACACAAATCATCAAAGGGACATTCTAAAGGGTCCCAAGAATGACTGAGAAATACCTTTCCATGGTAAAATACAACTTTTGATAAATTGGAGGACAAACTGTGGCAGACCCTAGCTTCACCTTTTTCATTGAGCTGGACACAGGACTGATGCCCCTCATACCTGCTATATAGGGCCGAAATGGAAGGAGCTGTTTTATAATCATTCTGTGTCTCCTTTTGCAGTACAGACAAAGTGCATCTGCCATGATGTCCCCAAACTGTAACATTTGGGGGATTCTAATAGGACTATGACTTAGGTAAGGTGCCAGGTCTTTGACCCAGAGCACCAGCATTTATTTTATAGGCTATAAAAACGTGCCATTGGGAGCAAATCTGCCTGCTGGTGTTTGCTGCTGGAAGAGTTCCAATCTTCCTGCCTTCAGTACATATACTGCTTCTAGCTGATCATCCCTGGGGACAAGGAGACACAAGATATAAAAGCAATACAACTGTTGGGAACTTAGATCAGGAGTTGCTCCCTATTTCTCCTTCCTCTCTTATGTGTGCCAATCTTACATGACTCCAGCTTAACCAAGAGACAGCAAACCCCTAATGGTGCTGGATACTTCCAAGTGCTAAAATTGCTAGTTGCACCTCTTAATCCTAAGGAAGTTGCGAAACAGTGATGCGCCAAAATGTCTCAAGATCCTTTTTTTTTTTAAAAAAAAGAATTTTCTTCTGCAGAATTATCTCCCAATATTTCCCCATCTTTTAATGGTGCCTGCCTCCCTGCAACCCCACAGTACCCAAGAATGACAGAAAACAGAAGGCACTATAGGAAAGTGAAATGGCGGCAGACACAATTAACAGTATTGCTACATGCAATGGCTGTGCAGGGAAAAAAATCCTTGAAAATAACAGATCTGGACTACAACTAGTGTTAATGGTGAAGTCCACCTTTAAGAAACTGTTGGATAATTTCTTATTCCTTGGAAGAAGTTTGCAAAAATTTTCCTTTGATTTCCAACAAATACTGTAGAGAAGTTCCAGAGGTGGACGGCACACAAGCTGTAGTTTAAACCAGCCACTGTTTGTAAGGCAACAACAAACCATGGCTTCTAGCTCTGCTTTGGCTTATTCACAGAGACAGATTCCAACACAGCAAGCCAGAATTCAATAAACGGTTGTTTGGTTTACCATCATATACAAACCTGGCTACTGTATACTGTACTATTGTAAAGTTCAGGAAATAACCTGTGTGTGCAGCATAACAGAAGAGAAGTAAACAGGTTCTTTTTCTCTCTCTTAGAAATTGTACAAACTGGCTATGGAAGAATCAAAGAAGGAAGGCTATGACCTACGGGTTGATGCTATCCCAATTCAAGCAGCCAAGGCATCCAGAAATATTGCCAGCGATGTACGTAGCCCTTTTGCTCTCTGTGCAACACAAATTTTTAACAGAGATGTTGCTTTTAAAAAAAGGGCAAACTGTGGACATCATTGTACAGAATGTTTTATTCTTTCAGTGGATATTTCTAGCTTCTGTGAAAGCAAGTACTTGACTAAAATAATGTAATTGCCTTTGGATGTGCCTGATTTGCCCTAGGACCTTCGAGGAGGAACCACAATACTGTATTTCCTTGCCTTAAGAGGAGAGTATAGAAAAAACATTGCAAAAAATTGTTAGTTTAATGACTAGAGAATGGACAGTAATTTACTGCAACAAAGCACAAGTGAACATTGAGAGAACTGGAGAAAGATTCTTGAGTCCCCCCACTTCTCTCAGCTTTTATCAGTAACCTGAAGTGTGAGGTTTTTTTTTGCAAAAGTAACAGAGAATAAATATGAATATACTGTATTAATATATAGGATGGGATATGAAGTTCTATGCAATTTGTCTTAATTGAAATTTTTGGAAAGCACTCATGGACATGTTTAGAAAGTCCTTTTTTCACTCTTACAGAGTTATGTATTCACCTGAAATAATTTT